TCTACGTGGTCATGAGGGTTGAGCAAATGGCACAGAATATGGTTTGGCAAATAATCTAGTCTTCAAGTTCATTTCTTTACAATTCCGTCTTTTTTCGTTTGATTTTGGTCATTTTACGACATGGGTATAGTTTTTATTAATTTTTTTGTAACTTATGGTATATTTTTGCTCATTTTGCAACTGTTTTGTACGATTTACAGTATGGTTGAAAACTTTTTTTTTGAAACGGCCGAAAATTCATGCGCGCGCGGATGTCATCCATATAATCAAATCAACATGGCCTTACTAATTAAACAAAAACTATAACAGAAAAGATTTCTAAACTGATTTTTGTATATGATAATAAAACAACATGTTTCATATAGCATAATTGGATTGATGTTACCAGATACACTGGAAACTAATTTTACTTTGATGGCCCCAATGATGACAAAAATAGCAGCACTAAGTATGTGTTGAAGGGGCTGAAGTCTGCCATCTCTGTTTTCTGCACAGCGGCTGTGTTGAGCTGGCCAATCAGTGGCTTATAGAGAACCCACAGGTGGAAGTGAAGTCCTGTGAAAGCCTGGAAGTACGAGCAAAGGGAAGTAAGGTAAATCTGAAGATTTTTTGTTAATGCTGCATTATGTGAAATTAGAACGATACAAAAAGTAAATTTTCTGGTCATTTCTTTACAAAGTAAGTTAAATCAACCCTACTCCATTGCAAATAAGTGTCATTCAGGAAGTGGAGATTCCAAAACATGATGCATTGCTCGAAACACATTTGTCTGCTATGTTTGTTTACATTCTAGTAGTTTGTGGTGGCACCACAAACTGAGTGCACTTCATGTGGGCTGTTTTAGTGGCTAGTATAATTGTCCGATATGTGAGATAATTGCACAAATATGTTGAAGAGTGGAAATAAATCACAATCACAAGAATATTCTTTAAGAATAAAACTCACTCAAATTCCATTTGTAAAGACATCTTCATCTCCACATACATGTATATGTACAAGTGACTAGATGTTTATCACTGTTTTCAGGTAAACACAGACCTGGCAACGCACTATGAGTACGGCAAAGCACGCAGCTTCTTTGTCAGAGGATTGAGGTAAGAACAGGAAAACAATGGTCATTTCTTTGCTCCTTGCGTGCCTAAAAATGTCTAATGACACAAAATGAAAATCGTCTAATTTGACACTGATTTTTCACACTGTAAATCCATCATTATATTTCACTTCATACCAAAATTCTGGATGAAATATCTTTTTGTTTGTTCTGCTGTGAAATCAAGTTTCTGGTATTGTAAATAAAGTTCATTTGTTTATTGACACAATAGACAAATAAATGTGAATCTACCATGCCAAATTAAAGAACTATGATTGTAACCAGGTGTCAAATACCATTTGTAATAAGGACTTCAATTATGTTCATGATGTTCATATTCAAAGTTACACCCCTACGTTCTGACATGTCGGAATATAGGGGTCTATATGCAAAGACCTAAGAAATCCAAGTTCAGTGAAATCTTCAAATTTATAAAATGCTGCTTTATGTTCTGTTTGTGAACTATGCTTATGTTGTGTGCATTCTATATGTGTGTTTTCCTCTGAACTGTGTATCTTTCAGCCTATTTCTTATGTACATATTCCATTCAAACTAGAGTTGGAAATGTCTATAAGCTTGCGATCTCTTTGTGTACGTCTAACGGTGGTGGGTGTGTTCTATAGGGTGTGGTATGGTCCCAGACTAGACCTTCCTGCTGGTACGTTACCCCAACAGGTCAGTAGGCTGTCACCTAACCCACATCTCTAACTATTCTGTATCTCAACATTCCTATCAAACCTTTTTTCACGTCTTTTCCGAGCATTCCCGCCAGACTTTTTTTCATTTTTTTTCAAGCATTCTAGCCAGATGTTTTTCATGTCTTTTCTGTCGATTAGTGCCAGATTTCTTTCATGTTTTTCTGACCATTCTCGTCAGTCTTTTTCGCTTGTCTTTTCCAACCATTCTCGCCAGAAGTCACACACACAGCAGTTTGGCCCATATGTTTACCAGCCTATCTGTTACAAGTGTCCTGTCCTCAGTGCTTGACTACCATCTGTGTTTTTTTCATCTTGTAAGAATTGGCAGTGCAGGGACTTACCTTTGTACTGAAATGCCATCCACTGACATGTTGTTCACTAACCTAAAATTGTAGGTCATTCTGAAGACATCCATGTCATTAAGGCTGTTTAAAAGTTTTTTGTAATTTAATAAAAGAATGTGAATTATTATTATTGCTTATGAATGTCTTGAGATAAGGGCCCGGTTGCATAAGTCGTATGAAAACCGCACAACCGCAAACTGAGGTCATTCTTGGGGAAGTCTGACATGTGTCCTGCAAAATTAAGCTGTTTTGTTATGCAAAAGACTGCTTAAGATCCTTGACAGCAGTTGGTTTTATCCTAATCTGCTTGAAAATTGTATGGTATCAAAATTGCATAACCACCAATGAAGAATATGACCACTGTATAACCCCAATCATTGCTGTATGGTAGTGAAAGATACCTGTTACTCCTGCTGTAGATTGGTTACCTGAATGTGGTGCCGGGCTCTACCAACACGGGAGGGGTGTTCCAGTTTCCTGACTTTGAACCCTTCGGACAGACCATCAACAGGCTGAATGGACTTCTGAAGGAAACACCCATCCCTGGTAAGGTTAAAATGCCCTACATACGTCAATACAACCTACAAATTTGTAGTTCTTTCATCGGTAGCGGGCTAGTGACCCCATACAGTATATAGTATAGTGCACTGCCCTTCTGCAGTTTTGCAGGCACGCAGTGCAGTGGCAGCGGGCTATATTACAACCAAACAACCAGACACACCCAACCTTTACACATCTAACAGTAAGCGTTGTTTTAAGCTATCTAGTGAGGATGACCCTACTGTACTTGTTAGCAGTCAGTTCCATTTTATGATAGTTTGAGGTAAAAAAAGAGATTTTTGAATACCTCAATCCTTGGTTAATAACTTCTTTGTACTTGAAGACATGACTATTTTTTCTTGTCCTTTTCTTGAAGGTCGTATCCTGAACTTGGAGACTCAGGACATGAAGTACCACGGGACGTGGACACACCAGGGTGTGGACCCTGACAGGTCCTGCTGGACACAGAGCGGGGAGACAACAACAATGTACCTCTTTGTTATCAGGGTTTTCTATCTACTGGGCCCTCCTGTGCCTGAAGAAATAGGTAACGTCTCACAAAATTCTGGTAGATCACATACGTCCCCCAGTATAATGGATTTCTGCATATCTAAACTTATACCTGTGGGAGCTGCACTTGAGATCTCTCAAACACTGTGTTTTGAAAGTGGAGGGTATATCTGTATCATCTGTAACCTTCTTCAGGGCAACAATGACTGGTTCTGATATTCATACTGCAACTAGGTGTCTCTACTGCAATATTACAAAATAATGCAGTCCCAAATGTATGTTGTCACACAATGTATTACACACAATGTATTACATATTGTCGTCAAATGTGAAAGCCCGTAAGCTACTTGTTCAATGAAGAACACTGTATATTGCCAACCTGATAAAATTATTTACAGAAGAAAAGGGGGATGCTTGGTGAAGTTCCAGAGTACGTTACAGGCTCACACTTCCTTTCCCTAGCCTGAGTGTCAGCCGTTTTAGCTTTCTTCCGCTACCGTTAGCAGATAATGGGGAGCAGACAAAAGCTAAAAAGGCTGACACTCAGGCTATTTTGTCCCATCACTCGATGACCAATGCCAGACTTTTTCCCCAGGTGTAGCAGATTTTGTACCTGAGATGATCTCGCCTCCTCAGGGAATCTTCAGCAACCCTCAGTTTGAGAACTTCTCCTCCGTCATGACCAAGGCTCGCTCCTGGGCTGAAGGTCACCTTCGCACTGTCAGGCTCATCAACATACAGTCATTCGATGTCAAAGTTCATAGGTCAAAGTTTACAGGTAACAAATTGCTTTTTTGTGACTGCACACTCAAGTTTTGTCAACTTATTTTTATACCTGCAAAAGGGGAAAGAGGACAAGAAACAATGCATTTATTTAGCACATGGACAGAACGTACTACACCTGCACCCCTATTGGGCATATAGTACTTTGCCAGAACGTTATGTTTAAGGTTGTTTTCACACATTGAAGAATGACATCCAGCCTGTAGTTTACAATGTTGTGTTGGAAAAGATATGGTCTGCAACAGACAAAACTCTGATGCAACATTGACAGAACACTGAAAAAAAAAGTATTTCTACCATTGATCTAGAGGACTTACCTTGGTGCTGAAATGCCATCCGCTCACACTTGTAAGGCTGCTATATATATAATTTTGTTATAATAGTACACTGCATTGTTGTGAATCATGGGCACAACTGTACAAAACTTCTCACCTTCTCTTTTCACAAAATAAGAACATTAATTTACTTGCTTAATTGTACCCTTCTCTTCCCAGGAGCTGTAACGATAGATTCTCAGCGTGCTTCCCATATCGAACACGGCAAACACACCACCGCCTTCATACGCATCATCAGGCTGGTCTACGGCAGGCTACGGGTCAACGTCATGCTGCCCCCGCCCCTTCCCATGGTGCTCAGCGTGAAGACCTTTGTTCCCGCCATCATCTGTCGCGGCGGCAGCTGGGGCATCCCGCAGTACGAGAGTCTGAGGGACACCATCAAACGGGCGCAAGTCTGGCTCAGTCTTACCGGTAACTATGCACTCTATACATTAGGCATCCAGGTAATAAGGTACACCAAAAAATAGTTACTCAAGCAACTGGAGATGATTTTGGAAATGGTCAAACGTTTCAGGTAGCATCCACTACCTGTCATCAGTGACACAGTGTTTTCAGTGTCACTGAGAAAAATAGTGAATTCAATGATTTATGCCATTTCATGCAACATTTGTGCAACAAACTTAAATGAATTTAAAAAAGGTAGTCTCGTGGCATTTTTGAAGTTATGAAGAAAGTTTGTTACTTTGGGCATAGTATATTGGAAGGCAAACCCATCCCTCTCCTTTCACCACCTCTTTACCTCCCCAACAAAGTCAGGTACCCATTTTGCATCTGGGTGAAGTAAGGAATGTTAGATGTAAAGTGCCTTTCCAAAAGACGCAACATCTCGCCAGAAATACAAGGAGTCAAGCCAGTTACCTCTTGATCTCGTGTCTGCATCCCTAGGAGCCATTTGACACCACATAAAATTCACAGTAAATTTACTGCCTGTGTTTTCCATCTCCAGGTGTTAACGTGGTGAGTGCGGAGACTATTTCCATACGGATGCACTACGGGAGGATCTCTGATGACGGCGCCGAGACCACGCTGACGTACCATCGCACCGACCACGGCTCGTACTTCCTCACCGCCTTCAGGATCTACATCGACGGCGTGTACGAAGAACCGTCGCCAGACCTACTGCCACCGCCGCCAGATGAGTCGGAGTTTAGCATGGACGATTTTGGATGTTGCAACGTCATGTAGTCTAGTAACCTAGAACTGTTCATCAATGCAAAATCACCATGCTTGAGGTAATACATAACAGATTTGTCGATGCTCTACATGTTAGCTATAGTTAGAATGAATAAGTGTAGGGTTATGTTACATGTTAGGCCACACCAATCTGCTTTCTTGGTTGTCAAACTTTTAAAACAAATAATGATGATCTGAAAAACTAACATGAAATTAAAAAGAGAGACTGTAGGAAAATTATATACCTTAAATGAGGGACAGACGAGATCTGTATAGGTAGTATAACCACCCTTTACCCCAACATCCTGACTTTGCAGGCACGCAGTACAGCGCGGCACCAAACAACCGAGATTAGATGAGAGAGAAACCAAAGAAATGGAATGGTGTGGCCTTATTAGATAGCTGCAACATTTTACACCTTTATCAGTTAGCATTAAAGTAGTCTGAAGAAATCTTAAACTTTATACGTAGTAATTATAAGGAATGTTGGAATTTCCCAAAGTTGATATTGATACAAATTTTCCTCCAAGTCTTTACACTTGCTGACAGCAAAATTTATATACCTGCATTTTTACTACTGTTGTGCATGGCACTATTACTATATATACAATGTAAATGTAGGTGCATGTGGCAATACAGCAAAGAGTAAGACATGCAGACTTGGGCTTTCATGAACAACATGGTACCTTATAATTATAACAAGAGCTGAAAAAAAAGTGCAAAGCATTTTATATATAACCTGCTGCTATTCAGCTTCATATTTGTTGCATTTTTGTTGTTCTGTGTCATTCAAAAAATGGAAAAGTGGACAATCCACCTATTGTTACTTGCAGAATCAGTTGTTAGTTAGTAGTTTTTTGTCATTCTGTGTTCGGAACTACCTCTTTGGTAGGTTTGAAGTTGGCTAGTTGAACATGCCACAGGTGTGGAGAGGAAAGTTATCTCGAACCAGGTTCAGCTCACTGAAGAGCTAATCTCCCACTGGTCGTGACAGAGAAGACTGAGGCTATGTATAGTATTTACAGGTTCATTGTATGGGGAAATTCCCCTAGCTCTTTTCAACAAGCACAATGAACAGTGGACCACAGCTGAACATCCCATCATAAGGACTGCGACCCTAAACAGTAGTGTGTAACACCCGGGATTCGAACTCCCAAACTCTTGGTCCAGAGGCAGGGACACTACAACACTGGACTACACACACAACTGTGATGGCACTGATGTTTAAGCAGGATGTAAAATGAATTGTAAAAGTTCCAAAATCAAGTTGTCTGGTGATCAGAGGGAGAAACTAGTAGAAATGAGGTTGATTAGAGTAGAATGAGTGAAGTGGTGTTGTGAATTCAAGGTGTGTACTGATGCATATGGGGGAAAAATATTTTAAAAAGTCACTGCTGGCTTTGCATTGTACCTCAAAAGCTGCTAATAACAAAATCGTGAATGCAGAGTGGCATATAGGTAGTATTAGTATCATATTCTGTTCCATACATATGTTAAAGAATTGTTGAAAACAGGAGTTCCTGCCCAATGTTGATCTTTTACCGATGTTTTTATACTCTACAATTCACTTTTCTATGTTTTTAAGCTGCTGACATGAGCTGATATATCACCACAGTGGTCTACAATAGACCATAAAATGATCCGTCAATATGATCTACTAAATCAGATGAATTTCATGTTTTTGTACATGTATGATGGCATCATATTCCTTACACATGTTCCATCTAGAAACAGACATCTGGCTTCAAGTCTTTGTTTTAAGTGCGATGAACACTGTTGTATGCCTATTTGAGGTATCATTTATAACATAAAATGATATATAACGTTATATGTGCTTAGCAAGATTTTACACTTTTCTACATTTTATGTATAGTGTTATCATTTGTATAACAATGAAGAGCGGGATATATGCAGTAATGAAACAATTTACGAAATTGAATTTGTAACAGTGAAAAATAGGAAAATACTAAAGCCTGATTAGTAATTATCTGGGAAGTTGGCAATACAATGTATCCGCTTTTATTGTAAAATGATATGTATTGAATAGAC